CTCTCTCTGTGTGTGTGTGTGTGTGTGTGTGTCGCACACACATAATGAGGGTATATATTCTTTAAAATATAAATTTAAAACCTTGTGCATATGATCCTTTCCAAATGGGCGTCCATCCCTTCTGCCTCGTTATGATCTTGTGAAATTTAAAAACGATAATGTGTTAGAGGGCAATGCATGGAACTTTATCAATTTTACTAATTGGTTTAAATTAGTCTCCATAAATGCTTATAATATTTCATCATCAGTAACATTAACCACAACAAAATTGTGATAAAAACTTTGAACATCGTCCCTTGATTTGACAATGAACAAAGATCCCCATTGACGAGATCATCCAACAACAACATCAGCTCTTCAAACGACGGCGGAACTCCATTGAAACCGGCAATGAGATTTTGTGTATAAGAAGAAAGATACAACGCCATCGTCGTCGATGAAGAACAATGGACATCGTTGTGCTCTCCGTACCGGTGCTCTCCACATTAGTGCTCATCTTCATATCAATGCGGATGATGGCGATGAAAAGAGAGAAGGCACAAAGAGGAAGATCGGCGAATTGGGAGAGGCCTTTCCTGATCATCACATTTTTGTTCGGATATAAAATGATCATATTTTTGTATATTCAAAGTCCTAATCTAATAGTTTATTCATTCTTTTTTAAATATATATAATCAAATTCATATTTTTTTGGGAAAACTGTCAAATAGACCCTCGTAGTATATAAAAAAAGTCAATTAAACCCTCAAACTAAAAAACACCCAATTAAGTCCACCAGCTATAGTAACACATTTAATTTTATAATTTAGCCAGTTCCTTCTCGGCTAACTAGTTACTCTCCAAAAACTAGTTACTCTCCAGGCGAGGTAGTCTACGTGGCATTTTCTTCATCTTCTTCCGCCATTTTCTTTTGTCTCCTGTGCTTTTGTCTTTTTTTCCGCCCCTTTCTTTTCTATGTCTGCTTCTTTGTCCTTCCTCCTCTTTCTTTTCTCTCCTCCACTTCTTTCTTCTTCGCCCAATTTTTTCCCTGCTGCAAATGAGGGACAGAAAGAGCCAGAAAACCAGCCAAGTGAAATGGAAAAGAAGCGGGGAAATCATGAGCCAGAGAAGAAGGAAGGAGACAAGCCGCGGTAACCCAGAAAAGGGAGAGGAAAGAGCTCCTCTTGCCCAACCACCTGCTACTCAACCACTTGAAATGCAGCAAAAATCCCACATTGACAAACCGGTGTAGGAAATATGCAGCTAATTGAAAGTTATTTTGAGACTCTCCGTCAGTGACCTAGAAAGAGCGCCTCCAATCTAGTGGATAAGATGATGTTTCTATACGTATGGGTCGTGAAGGTGAACTGGGTTAACCCAGATTCAGACTCCACCTCCTATGCGAAGCTTGTAATAGGAACCCATGCCATGAGAACAAAATCATTAACCTCTTTGGTCGGAAATAGAGAATGGGAACAATTTTTCAACTTTATTAAAGATGGGTTGAATTCCACAGTTCCACTTCACTGAAAGTCTCCGTTTGGATTTAGTAAAGAAAGAAGAAAGAAAACACGAGAGGTGGGCGGGAGAAAAAAGGTACAAAGAAAGAACAAAACAAATAAAAAGAAATTGAAAAGAATAAAAATTATACATGTGGATAGTCAAATAAGCTCAAGTAACCGGTTAACCGAGAAGTCACTTGCTCAATTATAAGATTGGATGTTTTTATAAAGTTCAAGGGCTTAATTGGAGTTTTTTAGATAGATTTGGAGGCTTAATCGATTTTTTTTTTACCTTAGGGGGCGTCAGGGGAAGGGGGTTTGAGGGGCTCTGAAGTAAACCGGGATCAATCTCACTCAATTGAGAATTGAACCCGGGACCTCCCATAAGGGAAAGTAAGTCAGCGACTTTTTTGATTACTATGAGGGTCTATTTTATAATTTTATATTTTTTTTAGTAAAAATGTACAAGAGTAATCCCAACTATTAGTGACCTGCTTGAAATAATACAAAGTATCAATTATCTCAAAAAAATCTCAACCATTGAAAAATCTTCTCAAAATGCTCTGGTGACTTATAATTATCCATAAATAACTTGTAATATTTATGGGTAAATGGAGTATTTTGAGAAAATTTTTCAATAATCAGAATTATTTTGAGATAATTGATAACTAGTTTCAAGCCCGTGCGATGCACGGGCAGTACGCAATTTAGCTAATTTTAAATGTGATTTTTTTTAAAAAAATTGGTTGTGTAATAAATTTATACTACCTCCGTTCTTAAATAAATGCAACATATAAAATTTTACACTATTCACATGTTTTACTTTGACTACGTTTTATTTATTAATGTATTGATATTATTTTATGAAAAAAAAATTGTTAAATTTGTCTCATTGTAAATTTTCAAAATCTAATTTTTTAAATTTTTTTACTAATACAAAATTATATATATTAATGGTCAACGTTGTGTCTCGGCAAGTGTGAAATGTTAACCGTTGTATTTATTTAAGAATGGAGGAAGTATTAATTAATAAATTTATAGATGCATGAATATAATCACCCTGCAATCATGAAAAATATCATCTGATTTTTGTTTAAAATAAATGCATTAAAATTTTGAAATTTAAAAAAAAAGTACACCTCTTCATCAATCAAAACCATGTCTAGACAAATTAAACTTCCTTGCCTTTTGTGATTGATGACATCACAGAGGCACGTAACACGAACTTTGATTGTCCAGTCGGATTTGTATCAAGTTGACATATTAGAGAATAATTTCTGTATTTTATGTAATTTTAATCAATCGGGTATAATGCATAATATCATGTATCATAAACATATTAATTGTAAAGTGTCATACTACCATAGTTTTAAATAATATATAATTAAAATACTGTATAAACTTACTGTGATGACATTCTTGATAGATGATCTCTAAACAATAGGACTTTTCAAATGAAGGAGAAACTCGATCAGAACTGAAAGAATAGTGAAACTATTAAAGCATGTATTAGATTACATTCTCTTCCTTTTTATAATATTAAGTGTTCAACTTTACTTAAATTTTATGTTTCTAAATTCCAATTATAGAATCATACGAATAGTAACATAACATAAAATAAATTCACAATATGTAAAGTTGTGAATTTAATACTCCCTACGTAATACGATGGTATAATATTGAAGATCCATTATTAAACTTGGATTCCAATTATAGAAACATGCGAATAGTAACATAAAATAAATTCACAATATGTAAAGTTGTGAATTTAATACCCCTTACATAATACGATGATATAATATTGAAGATCCATTACTCCGTATTAAACTTGGTTGCCGTGATTTTGAGGTTGCCAAATTTACCAATACGGTGAAATCTATATCAACATGTAATAAAAACACAATCAAATAATAAATAAAAAGTATAATAAATAATTAAATAATTGTCATATATGATGATATGACAGAGCTATGTGGCGCATTGTATACTCTTGAAACATCACCAATTGAGAGAGTATTCTTGTACTCGGTATAATTTTTTGAGTAAATTTCCAAAATGGGACCAAAACATAGGGAAAACGCCACAATAGGACTACTACTTTCCCGTGTGTTATTGTAGGACCAAAACTAGGTTGGAATGCCAAAAATGCCCCGCAAAGCCTTTAGGCATGAGTTCGCAAGCTGCTAACTCTACGATGAATACCGGCTACGACAAATCAATGTTAGTTCGGTGGAATGAGTGTCGGCGACGATGAATGGTGACCCTGCTACATGTCCAGGTGAGTTTCTTCTTCTTCTTCTCCTCCTCCTCCTCCTCCTCCTCCTCCTCCTCCTCCTCCTCCTCCTCCTCCTCCTCCTCCTCCTCCTCCTCCTCCTCCTCCTCCTCCTCCTCCTCCTCCTCCTTCTTCTTCTTCTTCTCATGCTCTGGTTTTTCTCTTCTTTCACCTTTCATCCTTTTTCTTCTTCTTTGAATTTCCATTTGTTATTAATTTTGATTATTTTATTTTAAACCATTCTTATTATTTTTCTCATGATTTGAATTTGAAAATGCCATAATAGTTGTGTTATTGAACACTAACTTGAAAATAATGTCACTGTTGTGGCATTACAATTTTTATCAACATGACAGTTTTACTTTACAGGTTAATTACAGTTTCAAAGTAAAGTTGACAGTTTAAAAGAGTAATAATGACAAAATCGATGACATTTTCAGAACAAACATGACATTTTTAAAAAGGTGAAAAAGGAGAAGGAACGATTGTCATGTTTTTAGGTTTGTATATGTCATTTTCTGTAAATGCCATCTTCATGACGTTTCTGTCATTCTTAATAGGGTTAAGAAGCAGGAGCGACTGCCAGATTTTTTATGCAGCAAATGCCATCTTCATGACATTTCATGTCATTTTGAGAACCAAAATGACATTGTTTTGTAAAGTAGAAAAAATAGAAGCAGAGCAGGCACAAGAAGAAGAAGAAAGTGTAGAAGTAGGGAGAGCAATGTGAAGAACACCTGAAATTCTGAAATTAGTGTTGGTGCTCCATTTTTACAATTTGAAAGATGGATTTCCGATCGTATTGAAGAGGAAGTGAGAAGATGAAGGAGTGGCAGGGATGTTTCCAATTAAATCAGAAAAGGGGAAAGAAGAGCGTGAAATTTCCGAATAAAAAAAAAGAAACACAGGTGAAGTGAGGGGAGAGCAGAGAGAATAACCTGGGAATTTTTATTTTATCTCTATTAGATTGGGGAAGGGGGTAGCGATGGCCAGCGACGAAGTGAAGCAGGGGGCGGGGCGATAGATTGGGTTTTAATTAAAGAAGAGTAAAAGTGTAATATGGACTCCCATTTAAGTAATTTAAAACTTGAAGTCCTATTTTGGAGTTTTAACCATGTTTTAGTCCCATTTAGTATAATTTCTTTAATTTTTTATACCGAGAATGATCATAATTCAAATTCACATTAACTATGGTGTCCGGGCCTCCAAGAGTCAAAGGACATCACCTGAGCGGCTCCAGTTCTCCGTGTCTCCCACGCGCTTCACAAACCAAAACCCTAGCTCGCTTTCCAGCTCTTCGACTTCTCCGTATCCTTCGTTATAAACCCGCCAATCCACACCGGGAAGATACCTCCCTGGCGATCTTTATCGGAATTCATCGCCTAACATTGTCGTACCTCTAGAAATGGAGATCTGCACACGAGCTATATCCAATCTTCCTAAGTCTGGCCGTCTGTTCACTCCGTATTACAGTCGCCTTTCTTGGACAAAGAACTCTTCGAAATTCGGCTTTAATCCAGGTTTCTCGATCTTCGTTGTTCTTATGATGCTCATACGCTGCACAGTTTTCCTGCTTCTGTTTGACATCTGCTCATGTGTATTTAATTTTTTCTTTGATGTCTCGATCCATCTTGTATTTTTTTGCTGTTTAATGGTCTTTTTATCTCTTTTATTTTCAGAGAAGTGAATTCCTGCAAATAAGACATCGATTTATTACATGACGGTTTTCTGCTTTATGTGTTAATGGCAGGAGTGCTCCAACACAGCATTTCATCTATCAGATTTGTTCAATCGGAAGAAACATCTGGCCTTACTAGTCAATATCAGTTTGTGAAGGCTGAACGGGATGACATTCTAAGTACTGAAGATTCTCTATCAGTGGATCAGATTAATGCTCTTGATTCTGTGCAGAACAAAGCACTTCAACTAGAGGTTAACTATGAAAATATAACGAAGGATGAGAACACAGAAGACAATCCTCTTTCTGAAATCCAAGCACAACTGTCCAACCTTCTTAAAGAGCTTGATATAGAGGTTTGCCTCACTGCTTTTAATCATTTATGCTGTTAAGCAGTAAATTTTTTCACAATATGGCCGATTTCCATTTAATTCCCTTTTATCCATATAGTGGATGTTTTTCCAAACACTCCCTAAAATGCTATTTTAAAGTTGTGCACAATTCACGTATCATGCAGTTGAATTATGACTCAATGTGAATTGTGCATAAGCCTCACATTATCTTATGTGAATTGCGCATAAGCCTCATTTTATCTTTATAGATTCTATAAAACACTCACGCAATCCTCTGCATTACATGAGTAATGACACAGGCAATGACATGGGCAATCATGGAAACTCGTTTGAATAATATCTCAATATGAAAAGGGCTTGGCAAAGAGTCTTTGTCATTGCTTTAAATGATCCCAAATATCTAAAGCACAGCAACCACAAAATGTAGCTTCTTATTCACACATTTTCTTCTTGTGTCTTTCTGGGCTCAAAACACTGTAATGATTTATTCCTGTCCTCAATCCCTCATTAATTTGCACAAGAGCCACTTCCAAAAATCTATTATTCAAAATCCAATTGTACCCTCTCACTTATTTGCACATTTTCATTCCATTGAACTAATGAGTAAGACCTCTTTCTCGTTGATCAGTTTGATCTTGTGGTGTATTTATCTGTAGTGATTAGGACCCCTTTCTCATCCATTTTTTGCATTCTTATCTATTTCATAGTATCTCCTATCTACTGAATTGAAAAGGAAGAATTATATTCCTTCATGTAGGAATATACCCCAAAATAGGAGTTTAGTACATATTTATTTGTACTTTGGATAGGATTTATGTTAGCCCAAGTCTTAGTTTCAAAAGGCGCGAGGCTGTATGAGGCGCTCTCATTGATTTATTTGAGGCGCAAGGCGGTGAGGCGCAAGGCGGTGAGGCGCGTGCCTCACATAGCTTAATGACATATATTTGGTAAAATATATTTATACTACTTCTACATGAAGCACTCTTCTCAAAAGCACTTCAAACTACTATCCTCCGTTTTTTTAATCGCAACATGTTGAATTTTACACTATTCACATGTTCTACTTTGACTGCATTTTATGGTATTATGTTATGATTTTTTTTTAAAAATATATTTCAATTCATCTCATTACAAATTTTCAAAAACTGATTTTTATTTTTTTTTACTAATAGAAATTACGATATAATCACGGTCAAAGACGTGCGTTGGCAAATGTGAAATGTTGACCGTTGCAACTTAAAAAGAACGGAGGAAGTACGAAACAAGGGAGAACTACCAAATAAGCCCTCGAACTTACATAAAAAGTTCAAATCACCTTGATATAGGAGGCTCTGTCCGGCTGTCATCATTTGGGTCAGTTCTCGGTGGAATTGTTGATGAATTTTTTTGAGCACCTTATTCAATAATTCTTGCTTACTCATACCAAATTTCAGCTAAAAATTCAACCGGTAAGGCAGTCAAATGATTTTATGAAATATACTCTGTTAACTGCGCAGTTATTTTCAAAAATTCATTTGATTGCCTTTCCGGTTGATTTTTTTAGCTGAAATTTGGTACGAGTAGACTAGACTTAATGAATAATATGCTCAAATAATTTCATCAAAAAATTCCATCGGGAACCGCCTCAAATGGCGACGGCCGGTCAGAGCCTCCTATATAAGGGGTGATTTGCACTTTTTGTGTAAGTTCGAGGGCTTATTTGGTAGTTCTCCCATTAAACAATGTTAATGTACATCATAAGAGAAACATAATACTTCAAATTATTAAACAATATGCTTGGATTGGACTATTGGAGGGCCACTGCCTAACTATTGCTTGAGGAATGCTTGGTGTACCCCAAATTTGTACATAAAGTGTACACTGCCTATGTACACAGGCATTTTGATAGAAAATTTTGTCCTTTTTCAAATGAATTGCCATATACACAGGCAACCGAGGCAACTGGTGTCTGTGTGTGTGTACAAATTGTGGTACGATTTGGAGTACCTATAGTATTTTTGCTATTGCTTACACATAAAAGAATTAATAGTCAGTTTGTGATAAATTGATATATAAACTGTTAATTGTAATTTCACATAAATGGTTAATAGTAATTTTTTGATAAACTGGTATTCTAAATCCACTCGACCTTTTCTTGGATAAGTGAACTTTTTATAGAAATTTTTTCTGGGTTATCGGAAACATCTAATGTTTAAAATAGGATCCTCAGTAGTTCAGTTGGTGTAGCTTCAGCTTTCCCACCAAGCTGTGGTAAAAGTAATTGATTGTTCTGAGGTTGCAATGATGTGTTTCTTACATTTTGAAGGTCAATCATGATCGGATGAGACATTGGCAAATTTGTCAATTCTGAGCGGTTAACTGAGCAACCTTTTATATCAAGCATTAAATTTTGTGTCATAGATTGTGGTTGAATACTTCAATTTTAGAAAAAGTGTATTTTGTTTGCAATACTTTTATGTGGAAATACTGCTTTCTTTTCGTAAGACAGTTAATTATCAGTAGTTACAGTTTATTATTTTGAGCATATCGGTAATTCCATCATCTTAAACAGTTTTTCCTGTGTTCTCATATCTTGTTTTCTAAAGAGGTGAAATAAGAAAGAAGAGCTAACTAAAGATTTTTAGCGCTTGAATTATTTTTCTTGGTGGCAGTGAAACTCTAATGGTATGGTTTTAATCTTCATAACAAACACAAAATTCAAAATCATGCTTATTTTCCAATCCTTTCCAATTACGTCTCCATATTTTTATGTCATTACTTCCATGGTTATTTCTTTCTTTCCATCATTGTGTGAGAAAAGCAATCTTTTTACGCGGGTGAATCTAATCTGAATAATTTTGCTAGGTAAATCTGAATTTTTGCTATGTAAATCTGAATTTTTGGTCCTGGGTAGTATCTGATCAACTAAGTGATAAACAGCTTTGCTGTGACATATGTTTATATTTTTCAAATGTTGATTACTGTTACCATTTTTTATATGCATATAGTATGATCCTGAAAATTTGTCCACTCTTGTTGCACTTGGTGGAGGAGCTGCAGTTGCTCTTTGGTTGATGAGTGCTGTTGTTGGTGCTATAGATTCAATTCCTCTGGTCTGCCACTCTACTCTTTTCTTTTAGATGTGTCTGTTTGTACATGTACACATTCTGAATGTAGCTGATACTTGTTTTTATGATTAGTAGTTCCCAAAATTGATGGAAGTTGTTGGTCTCGGCTATACACTGTGGTTCAGTACCCGCTACCTGCTTCTTAAGGTAAAAAAGCCTAAAACATGTTTTATCGCCCATGCCAATAATATGTTTTTTTTGTTTCTGCCATGTCAAAATTACTGTTGATGTTATTCATGCTTAATATATAGCTTAATATATACTTCATTTATATTATCTTTTTTAGCCTCAACCTAAAAAACCGAACGGAGGGATAATGGCTCTTGGGTTGAAAGGGGAGGGATGAATTCTGCTTGGCCTTGCTTTTTGCGAAAGAGAGTTCACATGAACTCTGTTGTGAACCATTCATTTTCTCGAGTAGTGGTTGGCAGTGCGGGACTAGGGTGCAAACAAGTCAAATCGCTCGTGAGCCGCTCCATCAAAACATGGTTAGAGTCTGGTCAAACTTAAACTTGAGCCGACTCGTTAAGCAATCAAGCTGAGCTCAAGTTGAAATACTTTTAGCTCGTGGCTTGCGAGCCAACATATATTACTTCTGTCTCATTGGACCTTGCGAAGTTTGTATTAGGTGTGAAATAACAAAAAGCAAAAATTATGTGGTTGAGAGTTGTGCATGAGAGAGAAAAATAAGCCTAAATTACATTTGTGAATAATAAGAATACATTTACTTGGGGCTAAAAGGATAACAACTGTATTGCGTGGAATGTGGATGAAAAACTTATACATGGGGACAGAATTTGTGTAATGTAATTCATTGGTTTTGTTTTAAGTCTTGTGCTCAGCCTCAGCCCTAGGTCTCATCCCAATATGTATAATCCTCATTAGGCCTCTTCTTTGTTTGGCTAGTATTTAAAAAAAACGATTTTTTTACTATGAAGTGGGGTCCTATAATACCTTTTTTGGAAATGATATGAATGTGTCAATTGGTTCGGCAGGATAACAGAGACGAGTTGGCTTTGAAGGTTGAAGAGATCAAGCAACAAGTGATTGGCTCGGGTAGAGATTGAACACTTGGTTGAGGTTGTCATACTAAAAAGGAGGACAATGTGCTGGTGTTACACAAGCCAGGAAAGGGATATCACTATATTTAATTGATTGTTTCTTAAAATGTCGTCTGATGCCGATCAACAAGTTGAAAAGGGATGTATATTTCACAATGTTATAGTAATGATTAAAAGGGTGCATCTGTATTTATTCTTTTGTTTTAATTACTAACCGTTGGGGGTGGATCTGGGAAAACATTTAGGGACCTGAGAGGCCGAGAGTCGAGACTGGCCTCCTATGTACCGGTTTCAGTCGACTTAGCATCAAAGCACAAGTGTCGTTCCACCAAAATTAAGAAAATACAGAAAAGGGATGTATATTTCACAATGTTATAGTGATGATTAAAAGGGCGCATCTGTATTTATTCTTTTGCTTTAATTACTAACTGTTGGGGGTGGATCTGGGAAAACATGTAGGGACCTGAGAGGCTGAGAGACTGAGCATCTAAGAAAATACAGAACAAAATTGATGTTCCACCAAAATTGAGAAAATACAGAAAATTAAGAAAAGATGGTTTCAGTGGACTGAGCATCTAAGATTGTTGCTAAGACGGTCCACCAAAATTAACTAATCATAAAATGGTTCACCTTTAAAGTAGCCTTGGACTGAAACCGGGCTGCATAAAAAGGGTAGATGGTAGCTAGGGTGGTAAAAAAAGAGTAGATGGTTAGGGTTTTACAGGTATAAGCTAAATGGTATATGTGTCCCTCAATTTTTTTTATTAATTACGAATTTTATTAAAATATTATGAATTTTGTAATTATTTTGGGAAAGAAATTAGTTAGGTCATAGATTGGGAAATTTATTGAGTTTTAGTCATACTTAAGGCACATTTACTCATTTACCTCTGAAGTAACTAGTCAGGTGCTTCAGTGATAGTCCAAAATACCTGTCCAACGAGCTTTGTAAGATGTCACCACTCGGTTGATCTATAGAAAAAAGCATCAATTCTGATTGAGATCAAGGTGTAGTTACTAGTTACTATTGACATCAAATAGAATATTCTGATTTGGGAAAGTTCCTGAAATGGGACTAAAAAAGTTCGAAAATTCCAAAATAAGACTGTCATGTTTTTATTCCCAAAATAGGACTAATTACTGCCAAATTTGGAAAATACTGTCATGTTTGAAGTCTGGTACTGCCAAAACATGGCATAATTAGTCCTATTTTGGGAATAAAAACATGGAAGTTCTATTTTGGAATTTTCAAACCTTTTTAGTCCCATTTTGGGTAATATCTCTTTTTATATTGACAAATATTTTTCAAAATTTCATATCATTTTTGATGAGTGATGTAGCGAATCAATGTTGGCGAGAATCTGGGTAATACAATATTTATGTTCAAGAGTCAAGATCCCACCAAGAATTAAACACAACTACACAAGGATTCCAATGCACCATTTGGTTAAGTTTCAAGACCAACCTATTTCAATGTAGCTGAGGGCTGCTGAGGTATGGTGTTGTGGGACTTGTGGGCCTGTGGCTGCTGAAATTGACAAATTATTTGTTAAGTAGAGTAAAAATTTGAACTGCGCATATAAAAGTAATAAATGAACCGAAAACATTCTTTGCAAATAAAACGATAAATATTACTACTTCCGTCTCGTTGGAAGATTCTCAAAATGACATGATTATTTAGGCAATAATTAAATAAAGTTCTTCGAGTATATTTTGAGAAATAATTTTAATAGGTATACATTATAATGTAGTTAGTATTGATAACTGTGATGTTATAAATGTATTATTTTTAGTATTTAATGATTAATTTGTCACTTATAAGATTGTTAATTGTTTCCTAAAATGGAAATAAAAACCTTTATATGAGACGTCCAAAAAGGAAAGTAGAAACCTTTTAATGGGACGGAGGAGTATAAAGTTGTGCACCACCGGCATTCAATGATAACTAAATTAAATTTTGTAAATTGCTAATTTTTAATAGTTAAACTAGATTAAAACAAGTAATAATTACACTTCAATTTTGATGGGAGTAAATAAGTATCACTTCATCATACTTGATTAGATGATCCTTTGCCCCTAAGTTTGATAATAACTTGATTAATTTCCACAGCTACCTCGATCAGTTCAAAACTTTATGTTGGTCTACCGAATAAGACTTGTTGAGTTTAATCCAACACGATATAGTAAATATATGTATAAATGTGTATGAACAAGCTCAGTTTTTACGTGGAAACCCGAAAGGGAGAAAACCACAGGACTTTTTAGGCTAATGTCCAAGCCCTCTCTTTCTCACTAGGACTCTCCTCACCATTACATAGTACAATTTGAGCTCCCATTAATGGAGTCTTGCAAGCTATTCTAGAGAGAGTAAATGAGTTGGGGAAGAAGGAAAGAGATCCTTTTACATGGAGGGAAACCTCCTATTTATAGGGAATAGGGGGAAAGGGGGCTCTCCACCCTAACGGGTCGAATGGGCCGAAATGGGCTCAAAGGCCGAAATAGGCCGAAATGGGCTCAAAGGCCGAAACAGGCCTGATAGGCTAATAATGGGCCTCACTGATTGGGCTCCGTACTACATAAGTCTTGGGCTCCTGAACAGTAATAGGCCGGGATAATATATCCCAACAAGACTAGTTGTTTTTGGACAAAAAATAACAAGAATATGTAGAAACTCTACTGGGATGGGAGCATCTGCGCCACAAGATTCACATACAACCACACTTACAAACTTATCTTTTTCGCAGGATTATTTTCTCACAAAATGAAAAGGGTCAAATCACATAACACCCCTCTTTGTGTTATTTCATCAGCATTCCCAGTGAAGAGTAACACACTTATAATTAATGATAATAATAGATAATCTAAGAAGCCTTAATTCAATGTTAATTTACTTTTTCAAGCTCTGAGATACTAAATTTATTGAGATCCTTTTAGATTTAATAAACTAGGCACTTTGTAATGTGGCGTATAAGATCTTCTCAAAGGTCTTAGCTAATAGGATGAAGGGTTTATTAAAGAATATTGTGGCGGAAAATCAAAGTGCGTTTGTACCGGGAAGGTCCATAATTGATAATGTTATGATAACTTTTGAGACCCAACACTTTGTTCACCGAAAGAGGAAAGGTAAGGAAGGTTTTGTTGCTTTAAAACTCGATGAGTAAAGCATATGATAGAGTAGAATGACCCTTCTTGAAGGTGGTGATGGAGAAGATTGGTTTTGATGCTAGGTGGGTGTGTTAACAATGGCTTGTGTCTCATCAGTGTCTTATAATATCCCTTTTGATGATTCGGTAATTGGTCCGATTATTCCACAACGAGGACTTAGACATGGGAATCCTTTGAGCCCGTATTTATTCATTTTAGTGACGGAGGGTTTGAGTGCTCTGCTTAGACGACAAGAGAGACTGGGAAATGTAAATGGGATAGCAGTGGCAAAGAAAGCTCCGAGGGTGTCTCACCTTCTTTTTGCTGACGATTGCTTTCTCTTCTTTAAAGCAAAACAGGGAGAGTGTGAGGTGATAAAAAATATTTTGGCCACCTATAAAGGATGTTCTGGGCAGAAGGTCAATTATAACAAATCCAGTGTGCAATTTAGTCCTAATGTCCGAATCGATGTCCAAAATGAGTTAGTGTGCTATATTACAAGTTAACACGGAGGAGGTGCCCCACATTTTTAATCTATCCCTTTCTAACACATATTGCATTATAACTTATTTTTAATGATTTTGCGACTATAATTTCTAAATTGATGATTTAACGAACCTTGAGTATAGCTAGTCTTTCAGAAAAAAAAAGAAAACAAAAGACAAATTTTCTTCACAAATTAATTTAGACATAACAGTTAAATGTTTCGCATCATCATAAACTGAGGATGTCTTTTTCCTTTGCCTTGCGACTGAGGATGTCCTTTCACAATCTTCTTCTTTCTGTTGCGTTGGAGGTTGCTCATCTCTGCAGAATGTCTACCACATTCGATCTTAAAACGTAACAAACGTTAAATTCTAACTAATTTTAAAATGTAACTAAAATGTAAGTTTTATATTGAATTATGAATTTAATATTAGAATGCCTTAGGTTTTTAAATGTAACTAAAATGTGACTTTATTATTAAAATGCAACTACTTTAATGAGTTTAATCTCACAACTTTAATATGGTTAATTAATATCTAACAAAAATGTTGCACCCTGATGTGAATTTTCTCGCACTTAAAAAGAGTAGTAGAATAGTGGTAAAAGTACGAGTATCGTCTCCACAGGGACGGACAAAAGGGAAATAAGAATTAACTAAATTGAGCGATTAAACTAAAAATAAAAAAATTGCAATGGTGCGAGATTGATTAGGTTGGAAAATTAAATGCAGATGAACGAATAAAGAGATTGATTTTCTTCTCAATTAACGACGAAGGGAACATTGATTGATATCGGGGTAACCAGAATTCTGGCAGATCAGGCTTAATTACATGAGATTGATTTAATTGAGCCTAGCTAATCATTACTAAGTTCTTACCGCTCTCGCGGCGTAGAACACAATAATTTAGGTGACCAGGCCGATCTCTCATGCGACATGTTCCTAAATTATTGCCAAGACGAGCGAGCTTACGGCCCCTTAATCGCTACTAATCTCTTAGCGAACGATTAAGCGTGTGTGAATGTGTCCTAAAACAAATTAGACCTATTTTAATTTATTCTGCCAGCAATTGTAATTCTAGTCGCGATTCTAGGTTACAAGAGATATCAGTTAAATTAATCAGACACAAATTAAACGGAATTGAAGAATCAACAGAATTGCGATGAATAGAATTAATTGTCATTAATTAAAAAGACTGAACTTACAAATAATCCCATGGTCTTGAAGAAAACAACGGAAAAGCACAGATAAATTCGTCCCTAGGCCCCTCTATAATGTTCGTCACCCTAAAAAAGGAGAATGGAGACCTTAGTTATAGAAAACAGGTAAAATTTGACTAAAACTAGGAAAAACGGGGCTAGGCATGGCGTGCCTGTGACAATGCCTGTGGAGCACGAGCATTATTTCGCGTCCAGGCACGGCGTGCCTCCCTGCTAGGCACGACCATGCATGACTTTCCAGGGAATAGGTACATGTTTCTTCATCGGGCATGACTATGCCTAAGGGACAAGCACGACATGCCTACCATTCCAGCGACCCGGTACCTTTTTGTACTGCAGGCACGGCATGCCTAGGGTCAGGCACGACCGTGTCTGCCCTTTTCTTCACCATATTACTTCTTTTCTCGCTCCACATGCTCTCGGATGCTTCCTTGATCAATCCAAAGGCCTATTCTTCATTAAATCTTCGTCGTGAACCTCCCGGTGGCCTCCAAAACTCTCAAATCTCTCTCGAACGCTCTCTAACTCTTCTTGATTGATCCTCAAGCGCCGATGCTGGACTCTAGATTCCTGATTTTTTACTCCAAACAACCCGAAACTCGAACCAACGCCTGGTAAACATAACTT